TAGCAACTTTTCATTATGTTAACACTTTAATTACTTTAAAATTGTACCACACTTCATGCGCATATAAATTACTTCAGTAAGTAAATAGACATAGCAACCTATATACTTTTGTATATTCAAACTTAAAAACACTTGCGTTGTCCACCATTCTAGGTTACGACGCTATTGACATGATGATACTTGAAAACAAGTACTATTGAATGACAAGCTCTCTTGCGGACTGATGGTGGAATACCCATGTCTAATATTTGAAATAAATTTCAAACAATATGGAAATATATTTCGTAAATGTGAAAGCCAAACCATTATAGGTATAGATTAAATTTCAAGATCAAATTATTTGTTAATAATAATAATAATCAAACCGCCCACAGCTTTTAAAGAATAAATTTGTTATAATTTTCAAATATACTTCTCATCCACATGGATGTGTATATGAATATATAATCTATTTTTGTATTCTAATAAAATAATAACAATTTCCAATCCAATCTCTGTTTCGAGATCTGGATAGAACACACCCAAATATTTGAAGACAAATAAAAATCTAATTCAACCAATTACCAAGGTACAAGGTACAATCTGTTTTAATTTATGTTTTCTCAAGTTGTATTTTAAATTTTGGAATAAACATTAAAAATTGCTCATTTGAAAGTATTATAAAAATATACAATAAGTTAATTAATTCCCATCTTCTTTGCACTTGATTACTATCAAGCTAATTTTGCGTGAGTGACTTCGTTTTATTGAGACGCCCAACTTTTTCCTTTGCGACATTTCTTGATAGTGGTAGCTAACTTATCAGAGACAAAATATGTTGAATTGATAGTTTTCCAAAATTTATTACTAACTGGATTTATTTATGATAAATCTTATGATAATTATCTAAATTATTCAAAAAAAAATAAAGCCTACAAAATGTATGGTTTGATCAAAGAATCCCCCACCTTTCAACAAGTATCGATAACGAGGTCATCATCGCCACTGATTACTAACCAGCTGTTTTTCTTTTTAATTTACTTAGTTAATATTTATATAATTTAACAGCAACATTGTCCTACAAGTTGTTGGGTACATTATCCCGATCCTACGCTTAAAAGTGGTTGATGATACCGCAAGACTATTTTTCTCATTACAAACTGTAGGACGATAATACCACATAAAAGATTAGTGTGATCTCTGCCCAAATGAAGCTATATCCTACAAAAAAAACAGGTATGTATCACTCATCCGACAGGAATTATGATTTTTTCGTTTTCTTACTTGTAACATAAGATACAATTAAAATAGTCTTTTTTTATTAAAAACAGCTTTATTTTTTAGTGAGATGAGTACAAAATTTGTGTATTTATATAAACAAAAATTATTCTTCATCAGATTCATCTGATAAATCTTCGCTGCTTACATAACTGTTATCTTCATTTATTTCATTATCCTCATTTGTGATCTCTGATTCTGTTATACATGACAAAAGTTAGAAAATTATATAATAGTGCGTAATGAATCAATAATTAACAATAATATTAATAGAGGGTACCTTGTATGTCAGAAGATAATTCCTCAAAAGATGAATTTTGGGGACCATCAAACCAATAATATTCATAATTGCCATCTTCTATATATATAAAAATGGATTGCTGTTCCTTAGTCTCGCTAAAACTCGAGAACGGCTGAACCGATTTGGCTAATTTTAGTCTTGAAATACTCTTGGAAGTTCAGGGAGGGTTTAAAAGGTGAGAAAAATTAGAAAAATTGCCGGGAAAACCTTAAAAACAGCCCTTTTCTATTTCCCATACAAACGTTTTTTTTTGACATTAGATTTGACAACTAACTAATATGTCAATCATTTTGTTTGATTGAAACAGGAAAAACCTTTTATTTATGGCCTCTAAGATGAAATAGAGTTCGCCTGGTCAGCTATACCTACATATATTACTCTTGACCAAACTAACGCGGACGAAGTCGCGGGCAAAAACTAGTCAATAATAATTGTCCATCCAAAATTTTCTGACAAATTTTCTCTGGGGCACCGCATGTGTGCATTACACCATATAGTGCAAATGAAAGCAGTTTTTTAATTTGTTGCAACAATTCTGCTTTTTTGGTGGCAAAAAGCGAAGGATCACATCATACGATGTTTTGATTTAAAATTACTTCATTTTTTTTTTGATTTATACCTTATTATAAATAATTCGTACCGCCTTTTGTTTATATCTTTTTTTGTTTAATGAATAAATTCTACATACATACTCTTCAATAATTTGAACTACCTTATTCGATGTTGTTAGTGCCGTATTTTCCATTCGTAAGAGTTGAATAAAGGTCTCTTGAAAATTAATATTTTATTTTTAGAATACTAAAAGGTCTCTTTTTTTGCTTACGCAATAATGTAGGATTATAATTATTCCCTGTAAAAATATGGCATATGGCGAGTGAATAAAATAATTTATCCCCAAGCTTGGCATTAATTTCATTGATGTTTATGATGTTTTCGAATAATTTAGATAATTATCATAAGATTTAACATAAAAAAACCAGTTAGTAAAGAATTTTGGAGAGTTATCAAACCAACATATTTAATCCCTGCTATCTCTGTTAACTTATTTTTTGTTAATTGTTTTAATTTCGAAAACTATCTTTTGATAATTAAATTTTTGCGGTCGCAGAGGAAATTACATGGAGTTAGTTATATGAATTCTTCACTAAAATTCCGTAGGGGTTAAGATCGAGAATAATACTTTAAAAACGAAGACGACCCTATACTTGCAACCTTTGACGATGAAATCTTAATAGTACCTATAAATTCTTCTGTCTCACTTCTATTAATAAAATATAAAAAAAGTCCTTGTTGTTATCAGATGTATATAAAACTTTATAATATGTTAATGCTAGAAGTTTCATCTCGATTGTTCTGTATTTTTTATTCTTATCATGTACGTGGTGTAGTGTTTTTGACAGCTTTTGTTTGGAGAAAACTGAATATTGTAAAAAACATTTTTTAATTTAAGTGACATTGGCGGACCCATCACAGTTTATATGTGTATTTATATTATGTGCGTGAGGAATAAACTAGCGCGAATCATTAAATTGTATAACGTCCCGTCGGTGGTCGAAGGTAGAATAAGTATAATAATCCAACTAGATTATTATCCATGTCTTTACAGCGCTCTCTTAGATGTGCCTTATTTACTATTGGAAAACAAACTATATGATACTATACGCATACTTTGTTTTAAAGACTTATTTTTAAGTAACTTATCACTACAATTAAAAACACCCACTAATTAAAATTATTTTTGTTTAGTTGTAAATGCATTTTTTACTCAGACTCAACTGATTGTGGCTTTGAAATAAATTGAAAATAAAAAAATACGTTCATGAATGTGAATTACATCCTGTTTTTAAAGAAACCTCCCGGCATCAAGAATGCAATACGTTCATAACAATAGTCGCAAATAGCATTTTATATTGCGAACGCTGTGAACGACGAGGCATTATTACATTTTTCCCGCACAAAAGTATCAGAACCGTTTAATTTCTCAAGATGGATAATAATATATTATTGTGTCTACTATGTGCAGTTATTCCAATGACAAAGGTATGTAATAATCTAATGAGTGTATCTCGTAAAAGCAATCGAAATATTTTATCTTATTCATATATTCAACTTCCAAACCTATTTATAAAGATTAAAACTTGTACAGAACATAAAAAAAAATGATTCCTATTTTTATAACGTAGCTGGTAATTATATAATCTTTTTTTATTTAGTTGTCTATCCGGAATACTTTAATAGAAACATATGCACCATCTCAGACGAATACAATTTTAAAACAGATTTATTTATCTAAAGAAAGCAAGATGAATCTGTGTGCTTTGCAAAATATTTCTTTAATGTAAACAAAACCGCCACCACTTAAATGAATATAACTTATATGTAAATTATCTTAGTATCTAATTAATTGCTTGTTCTTATTATTGTAAGTTATAAAATGCTAAAAAGCAAAAAAACATAGATTCATGTAAATCAATGATAGTTACTGAAACTTGATAAATCCAAAATTTACAATTTACATTAATTAAAATTTTAATAACGTAAATCTTAAGAAAGTAAACTATATAAAAACAAAAAATATAAAAGAACATATACCTAATAATATTATAAAAAAAGTTATAAAAGTTATACAATTGTTCTTCGTAAAAAAGTTATTGTCACGTATTTGACATATTTTCCCACGATACTTTCGTACTTTTTTAATTAAAATTTGTCTATATACTAAAACGTAAAGACGTTAAAAAATCACCGCTATCGAATTAAGAATGATTTGAATTCAGTGATGTTTGCAATAAAAAATATTACACATTTTATGAGTAGGTATCGAAAACTGTTGATTTGAAAACTGTAACAAATCTTGAATCTGATAGTTATCAATAAATGAAATTGGGTATTCGTGTGAATCTTTGTATGATTTCAATAAAGATAATCATGGAATATTCGCTTTATCTCTGATTTGGTTATCAACTAAAGTTCTTGACGCACCAGGAAAATACGAAAAATAAGTAGGTACTAATAATTTTTACTAAGGTAAACTTGAATATAATCTTCTTTAACCCACATAATAATTGTCGAATTTAAAGTAAGTTTTAAGAAATATTTTCATACATACCTGTACATATACAAATTCTTTAAGATAAGAGAGTGCTCTTTACAGTCAACTACTCGGGCAAATTAGCTATGTAAGCATTTTACGTTGTGTAAAGGTAAAAAACGGAAAAGTTGAATTATTTACGAATCAGTAATGAGTATTTTATTAAGTAACTTTTATACATTTGAATCATCACTCCAGGGCGCGGTGCCAGGAACCTTTTTTTGGCGACCTCGTTTGGGACTCGATCTTGCAATCCCGACAACCGGTTTGTCAAAGCTTTTATATTGTAACTATCTGCTATAGTCAATAAACAAGAGCCTTTAAAAATGTATTTATATTACAGAGGTTAGCATGCATGTTCATTTGCCTAACAAGGACAATATAAAGGAGGGTGTAGCTGTTCTGATAGACGGATATCAAGTGGGTATAACCGTTGTCTCACTAGCTGCAGGTTTATCAAGTTCAAAACAATATCCGCATCTCAATCCAGTGTCAGCCTACTTTTACACAAACGTATATCGTTGGGCTCTTCGGCATTTGAGTTTGTAGGTCCAATGTTATTTCTATGGGTATAGATTCAACTGAATTAGACGTTACTTTAAATTTTATGCATATTTTAGAGTTCCTCTTTGGATAGGAGGAACTGGGAGCTACTGTGATACACATAAAGTGTGGCGACGCCGTTTCTTTTACATGGACGAATTTATGCCCAAATGGTTGAAATATATATTACCCTACGTTAAAGATGAAGAATGGTTAAAGGAAGAGAAAGAATTTAGAAAATTCAAAAAATATGCCGAATCAGCTTTCGGCAAACACTACCGTTATCCTTCAAGAAATTTTAACAATTTTAAGTCTCAAGAGACTCAAGAAACTGTAGAAGTAATAGATTCTTCAGCATCGTAGCTGTATAAGCAGTGAAAATTAATGACACAATTATAATTTTTCTGGATAGTGGTACAAGAAAGCTAGAAATTCATCATTCAAAATCATTTGCAAAAACTATGTATTTTAAAATATTATTGTTATATAACGGTCATAATTCTATCCGTGTAAAGACGTTAAATATTGCAAAGAAAAAATACCATTTATGTATGAGTATAAGTATGTATGGGTTGTGGTTATTTCAACAGTTAATAAAAATGTCCAAAATAGAATGTTACTCCCATCAAAATATAAAGTTTCTTTTTTTATATTTTCTTAGGGTACCTTTAGGAATCTCGACATCTATCGCTAGAACCTTATGACGGTTGCTTCCCCTGCCAGACAAGACAAAATTTCAATAAATTATAATTATATTATAATTTCGTTATAATATAAAAGCTGATAACGCCTGCCTTTGGACAACATCATTTCTTGCCCAGCTTCACTAACACTAAATGGTTTATCATAATACTTTTCTTTGGAACTGTGATTAAACTTATCAGTTACTTTTAAACTAACTTGAATAGGTTTTATTTATTTAATAGGAGTTCTTTCTACATGTAATAAAACACAAATTGCAACTACTACAAGTTTATTGGATTAAATTCATGTACGATTATATATCTTTGGCAAAGTTAGAGTAAAGTTAAATAGAGAGATACTGATTATTATATAATTAGCAGACATGTCACATTAAAAAAAAGTCTTACATCAGAAATTAACATTAAAGAGAAAAAATATATATCATTAAAAGGAACGTAAACGGCATTAATAATGCATTAAACCTAAATTTAACCTTAATAAAAACTAAATGTAGTAAATTAATCCTAGAAATCAAAAATCAGAAATCAGAAATCAAAAATCTGAAATCAAAAATCTGAAATCAAAAATTAGCAATACCAGATGACTTGTCCGCTTTACCTTAGCCTATGATTAATATATCCACTACGACGATAAAATTGAAAGATTGAAGCATTAAGCGACAAATTTACGGGTCCACGAAAGAGATCATAATGTAACGTGTGCCCTTGGTGACGAGGAGGCCCTCGTGGAAGTGAGTCAGACGACCGGGGTGCATCAAGAGCCAGCCGGGCTTGGTGTCCTTCACGGAACAGTTGTAGCGGATGAAACGACAACCACCACCCTCGTAATCCAAGTCTAGGAAAGATTTACATTAGCTTAGTGTATAATTTTTGACAGTTATTGAATATCAAATAATTTATATTTGGTAGTCCACCCATAACAGAAAAACAGTGAGATGGTTTATATCAATAGTGTTTTGTTGTCGGAAGAAAAAATATTAATAGCCCTAAGGAAACTTACGGGGAGTATTCAGAGCCAGGTTGATAGTGTAAGTAGAGGAGTCGTGGTGCGGACGTAGAGAGGGCTGTTCATCAGGACGATAACGGACCACGAAGTTCATGACAGACACCGGGGGCTGGAAATATGTAGTATGTTTATTTATTTATTTATTTATTTATTTCATTTATTTATACATTTGTAAAAACTTTACAATAAAAACGTTGATGTCCACACTAGGCTAGGCCTGTATCGTGGACATTGATTCATTTCAACGATTCAGTAAAAGAGTTTATGTGTGAGTGTGTGTGTGTGTGTGTGTGTGTGTGCGTGTGTGCGCTTCCAAGTTGGTAAGGGTCTCTAAATTTATCCAAAAACTAAAGCAGGCTTACCATTGCTACATTTTTATTCCACTATTTTTAAAAAGTGTTCGGAGTCATCGTAAGACCAGTTTATTAATAAATTTGTGGTTTTTCTTTTTACTTCTCTGTATGACAGATTTCTGAGGTCACAAATCTTATTAATTTTATTATAAATATAGGGGAAGAGAAAAGGAGAAAACCGAGCTGCGAAAGCAGTTTTTACTGCAAAACTTGGAGCCTTATACATATCTGCGGTTTGAAGTATTATTGGGCACGGAGTTTGATACAATTTTATGAGTGGCTAAGACGGCTTGTAAAATAAAAAGGCGTCGTACGCTTAGGAGTTTGGCTTCTTTGTACAAGGTTGTTGTGGGGTAATAATATGGTAAGAGAATCTGTTTAAAAAATGTTCTGGATATAGTGTAGTTAGTTGTGTAGTGTATATGTGAAATACTGTTGAGTTAATTAGAGTCGTTAAGCTAGATTGATCCTGTTGGTAGTTTCGTAAATTCCTATTGAAATGATAAGACATAGTGTGATAGAAAACAAAAGCAGATTTGCACTTTCCAGTGTTATTCTTCACTGTCTCCAGAAGATGCTTTGACTTCAGGTCCGACGTGTATATCCAGATCCTGGATTGTTCGAATGAGGATGGGGGGACTTCTGTTTTCCGCAGTATTTTCTGTTCTACGAATATAAATGAATCCGTTACGAACCCAACAGAATCGGGATTCCGTAGTGCTGGGACCGCTGTCTCGCTTCCCGAAATAACATTCTATTCGATTTTGTCAGACGATCATTCAGGTACAGCTTTCTAGGTGGAGCTTAAACGATATTTTCCGTTGTGGTGTTTTTTCTTAACCTGGCCGCTGCGAGAAGTTCATCCTTTTTCGCTTTCCTAAGTAGCTTCACGACGATAGGGCGGCCGGCTGTACTGGCGTTTTTGGGTTTAGATCCTACTCTTGATACTTCGTCAATGTCGTCTTCATGTTGCTCCACATTAAATTTTTGGGACGCTGTAATAACAATATACTTGACATTTTCATTATTATGTTCGGGAACTCCACAGGTTTCAAGCTCATTTTTCAAAGAATGCTGATTTTGTGCTTCGATGGTCTGTTCAAGCTGAGCGACTGTTGTTTTCAGGCGAGCTATTTCTAGGTCCCGAGATTTAAGTAGTTTACTTAGTTCAGCAAACTGCGGGATGACAGGCACAATAGGTCCTAATTGCGTCCTTAATTCTTAAACCTCTTTTTTGAGTAAACCAAGATCTTTTCCGCCTTGCTTCATTTCTCGAACTTCACATCTTATCTCACGTATTTATTTAAGCAGGTCCGCAGTGTAAGATTGGTCCGCGTCAGATGTCGAGGGCGTCTTTAAGGTCCGTGAGCTGCGCAACGTGGTGACATTAGCACATGAAGTTGCGTCACTCAGTGCATTATGAGTAGGAGTTTTTGTATTTCCGTTTTTCGGCAATGGTGGCATCGCAATGTCGCAGTACGCTCTTCTATTTTAATGCTTTATCACACAATTTTAATACTTTAAACAACTAATAATTAAAATCACGTAAAATTATAAAATATTTACCACAATGAATTATAAATAGCTACGTTGCCTAGCAACTTAAATGTCTATAATAAAAATATATCTTCTATCTTCTATATATATAAAAATGGATTGCTGTTCCTTAGTCTCGCTAAAACTCGAGAACGGCTGAACGGATTTATCTTATCTTAGTCTTGAAATGTTCGTGGCGGTTCAGGGAAGGTATAAAAGCTGAAAAAAATTGATTTATTACTGGGAAAACCATAAAAACAGCCCTTTTCTATTTCCCATACAAACGTTTTTTTTTGACATTAGATTTGACAACTAACTAATATGTCAATCATTCTGTCACACTTCAAAACACGGAGATTTATGGCTTACAGGTTAACTCTCAAAATATAAATAAAAAACGTAATAGATATTTTTTGATTATAGGGCGATACGAAGTTCGCCAGGTCTTCTAGTGTATAATAAAATTATTATTTTCTACGTACAACTCGGTAAAATAAAAGCGATTTGTTTAGAAATGTCTGGAAAGTAATATTTTACATACATATTTAGCTTTTAACAATCGCCATCTCATGCTGTGAAGTTTAACTGTATTATGCATGAATAGTATTCTTAATTCATTATCATAGTGTTAAATGTCTTAGCTTACGTTATGGTAGTATCCAGTGAAAACTAGCTCCTGCAGCGGGCGAACGTAGTCCTTGAGGATTCGGAGCCACTGAATGTCAAGTCCGACCTGGTTCATGTGAATATCACGAGTTGGAACAGCTTCGTAACCACTCTCTAGACGTTTGTCCTGAAATGATAATTATGATGACAAATTTTGAATTAAAAACTTAAGAAACAAAACTAGATTAGTATTACGTTGTTAGATCCATCGCTCCATTGTCCAAATGCCTCCATGACTTCAATCCATTCTTTACAGAAGCGCATCGACATCAGTGGGAACCAATAGACGTCGGGGCAGGGCTGTAAGGTAAATGATAATGTACTGTAATGTTGCGTTGAAATTATTAGTTTTTGGTCGCCCTTATGTTATTACATACCATGAGTTGCTTTTCTTTGTTGTCGAAGACTTCATAGTACTTGGGGTGGAGGTAACGTTGTTCCCAATCAAGCTTGTTATCAATCACTTGGTAAATGTCGGGGTTAGTGCGGCTCACGTCAAACGTTTCGGAGTTAACGAGATGACCAAATTCCTTTTCATTGCTCACGTACATCATGATACCCTGGAATAAGTATGTGGTAATTTTAATAACATAATATATACTGTATAGTGAACTTTTATTCTGTTAATACAAGCTCTGCAAACTTACAGCAGATCTCAGTGAAGCGCAGAAAGCCATATCGGGGTCGGTGTCCTCCTTCAAATAGCTGACATGTTTGGCAGAAGGCTTGCGGAACAGCGCAATGTTCATAAGGTAGCAGTTGTTGATGAACGGAACGTTCCAGATACCTCTGAAAGGTTTTTTTTATTATATTAATTATTATAAGCCTGACCTTCATATATAAACACTACATTATTGTAAATTATAAAGGTGACTTCTCATTAATTGAGAAATCACAAGTTTAAAGACTATAGCGAATAATGTTATATTATAAACATTCAGATATAATTTATTAGTCAAGTTAAAAAAATAAAAAACTATTAATTCAACACAGCAGATATTAAAATGTTTTCTATTTGAGCACTAAAAAGTTGAATTCTGAACTGAAGCTTTATTATAGTAACGTTTGACGTCATTTATAGCGCGTGGTAATAATGTTTAGACAGTTCAAGAAATGTGAGTCAAAGAAATATTATTATTTTATAACTGCATAATTCCAAAGTTTCGGTTCCTTTACAACAACCGTTATCAATGAGAAAGAGGTAATATCAAAATATGACTCCTGGTTTTTTTTATAAAATCATTGTTTTGTTTGTCTTATTGTGTCCGCAGAGTTATATTAGTAAAATTAGAAAATACCGTATTACTATTAAATTCCAGAAACATCGATAGCACTTTATTATTAATGTAGGTATGTTATTTTAATTGTGTATAGTGTTTCGATGAGTCCTTTACCAGTGACCCCACAACCAATTCAGATCACGGCGTACAAATCGCAAAGGAAATGGCGGTACCAAAGGGGAGACAAGGGTCCCGATTATTTATGCCATTAGTCAATCTACGGCCACCACAGTTGTACAGGGAATCTCGTCAAGTTAACACCTCACCTTGCTGTGTATTGATTGACACACAAATGTTGCTGAAATGCGCTCTGGTCGCAACACTAATACTCCTAGTGTTGCAAACAGAAGCGAGGCGTGCTCGACCTAGACCGAGGACCAAGTCTAAGGTCTGTATGGTTGCAAGATATGTCACGAAAATTTGTAGAAGGTACGTTAACGCAATTCTTTCTTAGGTGCAAATAGGTCTTCCCATCACCGGAAAATACAGGGATCCCGAGTCTGACCAGTACTACAATAACAACGATGTGAGTAATGCTATATTTGCGAACTTAATACTGTGAATGTTTTACTATTAGCGAAAAATATAGCCATAATAACAGTTTTATACGTTTATAGACAAGCTTATTAAAAAAATCTGTTGTCTTTATTTTTTTTTTGCTATAACAGGGCGCTAAAATTCTGTTAGCATCGCACTTTGATCTGGAGTACGTACTGGGGCACAAGATCGCCTTCCTGTGTACCGCCAAGGGAACCCCGCGACCTCACATTACTTGGTTCAAAGACGGAACAGAAATATTCGCACATCACTACCTACACGTATGTGATTGACTTTCAGGATTTATTTTCAGAATTAAATTAACCAATAAAAAAAATCCTCTACCCCATTTAACCGCGTAAAGTACATATAATTTTACAATTTTCTTGCAACTAACAGTGGACGAGGTACTTTGTTTTGGGTACAAAATTGCTTAAAAAGGAAATTGTTTTGCAAATAAGTTATGTATTTAATATTTGTCACTTTGTAAAAAAAATGTGATGTTATATTAATTGCAGTCCGTCCAGCACCAAATATACCTTATCAAGTGAACAAACAAAATTTCCTAAAAAGTTATTTCTGTTAAAAATTCGTATTAATGATGTTGCTGTAAAGCGATAAATGCACCTTATTTATGTATTTCCATCCTGTCACGCTACATGCTAAACGTTTTAAATGATTAAATCGTAATCCTATGCGAAGGTTTATGAAAAATAAACTGGAAGCGGTGTTTGTAACGCATCGAAGCGTTCCTGTGGTAACTTATGTTGACGTTATGTGACTTTCAGATCCACGAATGGATGATCGAGGATGACCGAGTCAAATCGAAACTAGAAATAGATCCAGCGACCCAGATGGACGCGGGCGTGTACGAGTGTACCGCGGATAACATGTACTCTATAGACAGGAGATCCTTCAAAACAGACTTCTCTATCGCCTTCGACTGATGCCAACCGATGTTGAAATTTAATGTTTCATTTGGCATGTTTATTATTATTGTTTTTATTTTTTTGTCTTGAATAAAATTTACTTGTTGTATATGCAAAATGGTCGTCTTTTTTAAATTTTAACTTATCACTTACGTTTTAACCAAAATAATGTTCAGAGTTTTAAAAATGTAATTAAAGAGCAGTTGAATTATTTGGAATTAAAAAACTTATTTGTTTATACTGCTTGTAAAGAATTAACAAATGGATATACGTAGGGGGTACCACGTTAGACAAGGTGATTATAACCATACTCACTCAATGCTGCGGTTGACAATATCCATGTAATCAGCTGAACGAGAATAGAAACCAACAGAGTTGATAGCACCCCAAAAGTTGGACCAAGCTTGACCACTGCGTACTAATAAGGGAGCGATGACGTCATATCCGGTAGAGAGCAAGTAACGAAGGGTATCGGGTTCAACACGGGCGTGGCTGTCCAGACAGAAGAGATACTCACAGTCGCTGCCGATACAGCGGTCCCTGAAAAAAAAATATGAATTTTATAATTCGTTACGACTTGGGGTTAATTCTATAACATGTCTACTTACTTAGCAATGTTCCTCGCTTCAGCCTCCCCCACAAGGTCTGTGGATTTGATACGTTTGGCGGTAAAATATTCACTACTGTGAGCATTATAGAAGTTCTCGACCTCGGTCTCGTGGTATTCGACACCGTTGCGGATAAAGAGATGTATTTTCTGCTTGGGATAATCAATGGCCAGAATACTTTGGAAAAATTCCTCCATAAACGGTGTAGCCACCTCAATGAATACGGAGAGCATCACCTTCGGCAGCTTGTCCTCCTAAAAAATCATAAATTCTATATAACCCAGAAACGTAATAGATTAATTATCCTCAAAGGCTATCATTATTTTGTTTGGAGGTATGTCACTGGCAGTGAATATTATAGTCTTCGATGAACTACCAAATTGTAAAACAAATTTATTTACTTCATTGTATTATAACTTACATCCAGCACAATCCTCTTCTCATCACATAGAACACATCCATCGCTGACAGACCAGGACTTGGCTAAATAGTTGGATAAATTGTTCAAGGTCAGTTTTGCGGGTCCGTTTCCGTGAACTATCAGAGGCCTCTGCTTGGTCACCACGTTGACAAGGTACGGCCATTCCTCAGTAGAGTTAGCGACGAGTTGCACATCCGCTGTAAATTAACATATTGATGTTAGAATTAGGCGAACCGTTAATGTCAGTTCCCATTACTAGAAGTTTAACGATCCCGGTCCAGTTTTGTGATATTTATAGACTTTTATAAGTTTATCGCATGTTGAAGCTTGGTACCGATAATATAAGAATTTTGTTTCGTATATTCTAGTAAAATGCTTACACAAGGCACCGTGAAGGTTTTGGAATATGACCGATTTGTGGTCAAGGGAAATTCTTAGACTTTCTCTATAATCCTCGTCCAAGTACACTCTGGTGTAGAAGAGCTGGTCATCATCTTTATTGCCCACTATATCAAAGTTCAAGATCTTCAAGAGTTCCGGTAGATATCCTGTTTTACAGAAAAAAAATTAATTCACCCACTTTAGTGTCGTATTATTCGTGAATTCCATGTCGAATAATACGACATTATATAATACCATGTCCCATGGTTATTCAGACAGGGACATAATAATGGACATTGACAATTTACTAAATTTCTCATAAATACCCAATATTTACCCAAACTTCCAAAATTTATTTCTATACTTATTTTATACTATTTTATAATTTCCCGAAACAGTAATTAAAATTGAAATAGAAATCAATGAAATATTATTACTGATTATATTCTAAAACGAAAACAAATGTCCATGATGTAATCGTATTGGGAGATAAGACAATCGAATTTGAACATTTAGATCAATGTTTGTAAACTGGTTTAATTAACAATGAATCATTATTTAAATAAATTATAAAAACAATCATATGGGAAAAAAAGTTGCATTGTTATAACAAACCAAATAATATGGAAAAAGATGAAATGAATAACATTCAAAATGTGAGCATAATGATCAATGATCATATTAAAATGTACCAATAAATCCGCCCGAATTGAGGAACGGGTTCAATTGCTGGCTGTCGGGGTACTGCGACGCGAGAGAGGAATCTGGCCAACAGAAAGGTTCCGCAGAGAACAACACGCGTACAGACATTTCGAGAAACTTCTTCACTATCTCATCAAGCGAGCCCAGGAACATCACATCGTAGCTAAAATATTACAATACAATTATTACGATAACAGTCAACTACAAATAATTTATGTATTTAAAGAAAGCGAAATTAATTCATATTCTATATGAACATATTAACTACACCAAATATATATGTTTACGTAAATTTAATGATCACAAGGTTTTGCCCGATATTTCGTTCGCGACAATACCAAAATTAGAAATGTGTAACTGAACGGGAGAACTGTGGTTACTCCTTAGAGGAAGTAAATAATCAGATTTTGGAATTTACTTAGATATTTTTTTCTGGGGGAGGAGGGCAGTATAAAAAATATCTAGTCAGTTTCTATGTTTTACCCCCCCCCCCCCCACACACACAATTTTCAGTCAAATCTGTACAGCCACTCGGGTTATATAGTATAAAGCATCTAGTGCAAAAAATGGGAATATATGTATCCTCATAACCAAATATAACTAAATACAAGCGCAATACTTGTAATAAATTTTGATTGCTTTGCATTTCCGCCTCATTCTTAATTTTAATCATTCTGTTTATACTTCCCCTGTTCAAATACATTAGTACAACAATAAAGCCAAAGTCGAGGTTTTTATCGCTTATGATATGGAACCAGAGATTTTTTTAAGTAAAAGTAATCTATATATAAAGGTAGGAAGCAATAGAAGCAAAAACGTAATTGGCAAAATATCCCACGATTAAATTGTAAATGAACCCATATTTAAAAAAATAATAATACTAAAACATATAATATCTCATTAGAATATCGATAAAGATATGACTTTCATTAATTTATCTTTATAAAGTTGAAGCATTCATTCATTGTCCTCAATTGACAGTCATTGTACCCTAGAAATCTGTCGTAATAAGCTACAATCTGTAAGTTGTAATATCAACAATTCAAAACTATGAATATATGTAAGCGTATACATTTTAAAGCAATACACCGTGAATTTGATAAGAAATATTTTTTAATACCGACATTTTGACCTCCGCTTATTGATAGAATGTTGCTGTGGAATTTTTTTTAAGCTTTTTAATCGATTTTACTTTTCTCAGAATAGAATACATGAACATAATAATTACAAATACCGTTTTATTATTAAATAAATTTTAAAACTGTTCTATTTATATGAAAGTAATATGAGACAAAATGTAACAATGGTTTGTCATGTATAAGTGATACACCATATGAAATCATGTGTCATATCACTCCGACACTTACTAGGTTGCTTGTAATGGACTTTAACTAAGTAATACAATGGATGTTTCCTACCTGTCAGTGAATAGAATAATCTGGTCTCTGTCTTCAGGTATTTTCATAGATGTCAGCTTTTCCTTGAGCAGGTTAACCTTGTGACCACCACCCTCATGCTTCATGTCCCCTCCCTCCCACTTCTTGCCTTCACCGAGAACTTCCACATTGATATTATATACCCTTGCCGAGCGGAGGAATCTTTCCAAGCCATGGTTCTTCTCAGTAGCCACCGTTAACACCTTTACATCGGGTTCTGAAGGAAAAAGAACATTACAGTTTTTTCATTACCCTATCTAACTGCCTAAATAGAGTTAAACAACCACATATTTGAAATGTATATATTGTTGGAGCCATAAAACATCTTACTACAATTGCTATTGCTTTTAAAATGGTAACACTATACAAGAGTCTTTTTATCAGCCGGCAGTTCATAAATGTAGAAAATTACAAATCATATTTCGCACTTGCATCTCTTATATACTTTTTACCTCTAAACCATGAACTCAATGAACAGAATATTACTTATTTGAGGTATAGAGTAATTTAAAATTGTACCATTGAGAATTAATAATTATACTTTTACTATCTAAAGTTAATATACAATATTGATATAATATTGGGTCTTCAATGTATCAAAATTGTTAAGTTTCATATAACTTTAAAATGAACACCACCCACATTATAAGTCTGTACCAGCATTGTTGGTACTTTGGCAAAAATTACAAAAATTCTAAAGTCAAAGGACTACTATTATACTAGAGAATGGATATTTAAATATCTACAGCATACTAGTTCTATTATCAACAAATCAATTAACACAAACAATTATTTAAGTATAAAATTAGAAATAGATTAACAAATGAATGAAAAGCATTAATATACAATATTAAATTTTAAATAAAATTGAACCTATGAAAATGAGATATAAAAAATAAATAAATGTACCATATAAAACACAATATCAATAATTTTCAAACAAAAATATTTTTGCATCAATCGCAACACAGCTTTAGGATAATAAATGTATTATATGAAGAGTGCCGGTTTTGGGTTACTGATGGAATTTAATAGATTTAAACTAATAGTTTTTGCTAAGTTATCTTGTAACTTGATAATATTTTTTATGTAATAGTTTAATACAAAAAGTTATAGTGAATATTGATAAGAATATTTACTGAATAATTAAATGGTTAATGGTTAATAAATATGAAACGTCAAAAACAGTGCAACCATGATGCATATTAATTATCACAAAATTATTTACTGAATACTGTTCAAATGACTACACCCTGCTCTATAAAATGCTTCAATTTAAAGATTAAGTGACCAATTTGAATTAAACAATAGTAAAGGTTATTTTTAAATTGTTTCTAAATTCCATGTTAAGAAATAAGCTTTACCAAATCAACCTTCTATTTGGAATTCTATAATATTTTGAAAAAATCCCTTCTAACAACATAAATAGCATATTCATTAAAAAAATAATTTACTTATACAGTAACTATATCTCTGACAATATGCTTGGTTAATATGTTTAAATATAGGAAAATAAAAACGCATAGCAGATTTTGAAATTGAAAAAAAACTTACGTTTGCTTTTACTTTTTGTAGTTCCTTCAGTTTTACTAGTAAATAAAAGAAAAAGACAGAATAATTGCAGCAAGCCGGTCATTTTTGTGTAGTAATCAGCAAAAGTTCATTGGACTGACGCAAACTCTCAAAATACGAAGCCGTTTGAAATACTAAACCGAATTATAATGTCCTACATAAACGTTGCCGCTTCCGAGGCGATAAACTCCGACTGTGTACTGTATATTGTATAGGTTGGAAAAACGTCACTAAGATAACAGATGCTTCCTCCCACAAGCGAACTACCGATTACTGATTACACAGTCTGTATTGCCGCTTTGGCTACTGCATGAGCTCATCGCATATGTTTTATACTTTATTTAATACATAAAAATAATAAATCGCCTCTTGCGTTGCAATAAGGATTGTTTTGCTTTGAATATTATCATAGAACTTCTATGAGAATTGTCATTGTGCTGTCATGTCAACACAGTACACAAACAAAACTTTAAATGAAGAACATCTAGCATCAACTTAAATAATAATGTAGATGTAAATTGTATAACCCGTTATTATTTTGACCCTTAAAATAGTATTAATTCGAAATATTGTAAAAAAAATAATGTTAGCTTTAATAAACAACCCTCATTGATTTTTTTATGTTGAAAAAATGATTTATTATTGCATTATATACAAAAAGATGTAATCGGATCGGATTTTAAAAATATCGAACTAAAAAACAATTTTTTTCTTTTTTTAACATCATCATCAGCCTATCTGAGCCCACTGCCGAGCAAAAGCCTCTTCTCACATGAAGAAGGTTTGAGCATTAATCACCACGCTTGCTCAAGACGGGTTGGCGATATCAAACTTACAATTTGAAATTATAAGTTCAGGTTTCCTCACGATTTTTTTCTTCATCGTCTGTTTTTAACGTCGATTGGATATATTTGAATTCATGATCATGAGAAGTGATAAAGAGTCCTAGATGGTAATCGCACCATATTAGAAATTTTTATTTACCCACACCTTAAAGACTTCTTAATTGTACCTACAGGGAAACAAAGACTCAGGTAAACTGTTCCAATCCTTTGCTTTCCACATCTTAAAGCTGAAATCGTATTATTTCGTCCAGATAAGCAGAACATTTATTGCAATTAGAGCAAGATACTTTTTGAAAGGTGGGAGTCCTAAAACGACTCCGCCATATAAAAAGGAGAGATTCCATATCAAACACTACAAAAAAATTATAGGTGTTCAATTTATACAAGACAAGATATGTATTGTCCCGTTCAAAATAGATATCAATCCACTCAGAAATTGTCTGAACTTTCTTTGCAACTCTCATTTATAGCGGCTGACTCATGAGCTGGATGAATAAGACTTAAAAAATGTGCTATTTTTGGATTCTCCAAAAGGACCCGATGATAAAACGTACCTAATTGATATTAAAAACTAAGTTAGAAAGGGGCGAAACCTCTAAAGAAACACAGACGAGCAGCCATTAGCGGCCTTTCGTAGAGCACTGTCGTTCAAAAACTCGGGACAGCGTAAATCATTTCGCATATTTTTATACTACATATTCCATAGGTCTGCCAAAAGGTTTACTCAAGATCAAAGTCTCGGTATTTAAGGTACGCCTCCTCGATAAGACAATGATACTGCGTCTTAGTCCAAAAAAGTCCTGTGGTGGTCGACAGGCAAGAGATTACAATGCAATCACCTGAGTAAGGAAAGCAATGAAAGGATATTGAGACACTGTATAAACCTATTTTTTTTACAGAGGAGGAGGAGGCAGGAATGCGTAAAGCTCCTAGAGATCTCATCTGATTGTTTCGCCCGGTCGACAATTGGTAGGATTGAATCACCCTGGAATATGTTACATAGATAGCGACATAGTATGCAGGTTTTCGTGGGTGGACAGAATCTTACCCCTACTGACTGTGGGAGGCCAACACTTTTCCTGCGTTTGGAGATCCTTACCCTCTATAATTACGCAACGGACAAAAAACAAGGGCCAAGCGTATGGTACTTGGTTCACATCTTAAGAGGAAACCCATCCTCGGTGTAACTTCATCAGACAACAAAGAGGAACGAATCAGTTGGGGACATAACTTTGCTTTACTATGCCGGGGACGATTCCTATACCGGCGGCAGATTTTATAGCAGGAAAAAATTAATAGGGCCGAGAAATTATTATGATATATCATAATATATTACTAGAATATAAGAATACAAGTAATTAATTACTTGATAAGTTTCTTCAATTTATTTATAATATTATATATAATATAATACAAACATTTTTGATGGTAAAACTTACTCGATATTAATAAAAGTGTAATAGAATAATTTCTAAATTGTTAATTTCAAAGACAAAATAATATACCCAGATTTAAGAATTTGATTTTTGTATTTATTATTTATTTTTTATAAAAAGGATTGCAAACGAGCAGACGACCTACTTGATGGGCAGTAGTGACCATCGCCCATAGACATCCGCAAAATAGATGTTGCGGATGCGTTGCCAACCTTGATTGTTGAGGAAATGGGAGGGTATAGGGAAAGGCAGCCGGCTCTCTCACTCATAGGACGAAACGCAGCCGCTAAAGGTTACTTCACGCCGATCTTCTGTGAGAGGGCGGTACTTTCCCGGTCGAGCCAGCCCATGTTCGAGCAATAGTAACTTGATTACAGCTAGGCTCTACCACCTCAATAATATTTTGAAAAGAAATATAAGTAAATAATATTGAATTTTATTTTATTACTGGAAACTTCAATTTTACAATATAACATTTAAAAATTAATTGCAAATTATTTATTTACAATGTAATTGATAAGAATCTACCATATTTTTGAGATGCTGATACTTTCAAATCGATGGTTTGATAATACAGTAAGTGCAGTGGTTGAAAAAAATTTATATGAATTTCTGCCCATCATTTGACATGAAACAATTTTAACACAGGCACTTTTGTTTTTGTCTTTGTTGGAATACTCTAATAACAAAGTTAAAATATATATATAAAAAATATATTATCTTCTATATATATACAAATGGATTGCTGTTCCTTAGTCTCGCTAAAACTCGAGAACGGCTGAACCGATTTGGCTAATTTTAGTCTTGAAATACTCCTGGAAGTCTAGGGAAGGTTTAAAAGGTGAGAAAAATTGGAATAATTGCCGGGAAAACCCTAATAACAGCCCTTTTCTACTTCCCATACAATGGTTTTTTTGACATTAGATTTGACAACTAACTATTATTTCAATTCTGTTTGATTGAAACAGAAAAAACCTGATTATTTATGGCCTGTAAGACGGAATAGAGTTCGACTGGTCAGCTATACCTACATATATTACTCTTGACCAAACTAACGCGGACGAAGTCGCGGGTAAAAACTAGTATATTATAAATAAGAAAGATATATTGCTTATTATAACAGGGAAGACATTTCTTATTTTATAATGTACGTCATATGATCATGATCCATTTAAAATTAAAAAAAAAACTTTATTAGACTGCTTTATTGTTCGTCTTCTGAGGTAGATTATTTATTAAGATTGAATGCAATTGGTAGACAGGCTCCACAAACAACTAACAAAGTTAAGAGATAAGTGGTTGGCATTTCCCGCCACGAATACTGTTTTGGAAAGTTTAGTTTAAATATATGCAGAAACATATTT